AGACAGTATAAACAGGCGCGGAGGGGGGAGGGGAAAAAGAAAGAGAATTTAGGGAAAAAGGAAGAATGCTGAAGCTTGCAAAACCCAATTTGGGTCCGGGATGACTTAAAAAAAATACTTTTTTGCCTCGCGCATACGCTGTACCCTTAGGCTGTGGCAACAAAAAAAAAAATGGAATCTTAGTGGTAGTAAAAAAGGAAATTGTTTGGGGATGTAATTTTACTCGAACCTCCTCCAATACTCCTTGTGTTGTTTTCCAGCTTAAGAAGAAAAGATTGTATGCCAAGGTGATAAACACAAAGAGAAGCAAGAGCAAAAGCGGACAAAAGTATGGAAAACTAGTAAAATGGCAACTGGCAAAAAGGTGTGGGTGAAAATCTCGTGGCCGTCTTATCCTATTTGTTGAATTTTCAAAAACAACTGAAGCGCTCTTTCCAAAAGCAACTGATGAAAATAAGCTATAAACCAAAGGGTAAATCCCACTAAAAAATGTGTTTAATCAAATTAGTCCAGATACAAATTTATTGTTAATTCGGAACATAATGCAAAATAAACACTAATTTAAGCAAAGCAAATAAATTCTAAAGTGTTTGGGATACTTGGTGACCCAAAAGGTTGGGTGAATTCAGGCATGCTCCATAATTTAAGTCCGCATTGCCAAAAAAAACTTCACATTGCCAATGGCGGGAATTAAAATGTGGCCTAATTAGAGAAGTGAACAATGGAGAGTAAGTGTGTGGATAATCCTGAACAGTGTATAATAAAGAAGAAGCTTGTTTGTGGAGTTTAGCATTCCTGTAAACAATCAAAATGTAAATTAACATTTGGCCTGCCTGCATTGTATTAATAACCAAAATATGTCCATAAAACTTAAAAACCGAAACAGCAACTGGGTAATTTCAAATTTGCAGTTAATAAAGGGATTTTGGTTTGCGCCAAAACTTAAGACATAAAAAGGGAACAGGAATTCAAACGCCATCCCAAAATACTAAAAAGTCTTTTGAATATCAAAACCATCGACCAAAAAAACATTTTGGGTTAATCCCAAAATAAAAAAGTTGAAGAGACGTCCACCTGGAGAACTGAATATAAGATACATAAACCAAAAGTATTTGTGTACCTATCATCCTAGCCATTCAACTTTTCGCCTTGAATAATCAATATTTTAATCTGATTCAGAGTTCAACAGCACACACGCATCCGGCTGAAGGACGGCTCTTGTTTATTATAAGCTTCACATTATTTTGCATTGAGGATCATTTTAGAGAGTGTACGCACATTTGTGAATAAAGTAGCAGTTAATACTGAAATCGTAAGCGTGCAGCTGAAGGAGAATACATACGGCAGTCAAGTAGCCAAACTTGGTGGGGAACGATATGGAATTTAAGAAGAAACAGTAGAGCTAAGGGCTTCTTGCCAACAATAAACTGCTTTGGTTTATTACATTGAAATACAATTAAAATAAATTCAGAAAAAAGAAAGCGCAGGAATATTGCTCCTTTTCGCTTTGCAAAGGAAAAGGATATCCTTACAAGATCAAATGCTGCATTGTGTATGTGTAAGTGTGTCAAGTCAAAATAGAACAGAGTAAAAACTAAATATAATTTAATTTGTTTTCAAAATATCGCGTAAGCCTAAACCTTGACCCCGGGGGGCAGGCCTTTTTTAAACTATTGTCCTGGCTATTAAGCTCTGTGAATCAAAAGGCAAAAAACAAGGCAAGCAATATATGGACTTCAAAACCTAACTATCAACTTATTTGGCCTAAATCACCCCTGGAAGCCGAAATGCAATTCAATTCATAAAGCATTAAACCCGTAAAAGCCACCGCCAGGTTTGTGAAGTAACAATAGGAGCGCCATAGAGACCTGACTTAACTTTCTTGTCTCTAACATTGAAAAAAAAACATGTCCAGCTAGTGTCAATTCTAAAAACGCCCCTGGAGGAGGGGGGTTCATCAGTTAGTGACGTAAGTGTGTGCAGAACCCATTCTTCAGGGGGTACGGGTGGGGCGTCCCAGGACCCCATCCAGGGCCCCCGACACACCCAGAGGATGAGGCAGGGGAGTGTATAGTGTGTTGTGTTGAGGGTTAGGGAGATTGTATAGAGGTGGCTATACGCCAACAAATGACAAGCCCCGCACTGGGTATTCATGAGCAAGGCCAAGCAAATTAAATGATCCCGGGTCCAACATTAGCTAATGAAAAATCCCCACTGTCCGAGGCCATCGCCTGCCAGCCCCTGGGCAACCCTAAAAAATTCCTT